TACGCAAATAGGCAGAAAAAACTTGATTCATAGTAGCTTGGAAGGTAGATGGGGCATTGCTCAAGCCAAAGGGCATCACTAAGAACTCGTAGTGACCATGATGGGTGCGAAAGGCTGTTTTATGTATATCAGGGGAGTGCATGCGGATCTGGTGGAAGTCGGATCTGAGATCAAGTCTGGAGAAAATAGTGGCTCCATGTAGCTCATCAATGAGCTCATCGATGGTTGGTATAGGAAACTTGTCTTTAATAGTAATAGCATTTAAAGCCATGTAGTCAACACAAAACCGCCAAGTACCGTCCTTTTTCTTGACTAAGAGAACTGGGGAGCTATATTCAGATTGGCTATGGCGAACTAACCCCGATGTCAGCATTTCAGAAATCATTTTTTCAATCTCATTTTTTTGGTAATGTGGGTAGCGGTAAGGTTTGACCTGGACAGGTTTAGCATCTTGGGCTAGGGAAATGTGGTGGTTAAGTTGGCGATTTGGTGGCAAAGTGGTGGGCACAGTAAAAACATCAGAATAGTCATGAAGTAGAGTGGATGGTGTGGTTAAGGTGGTGGTGGAAGTTGGGGTTGTGGGTAAGGGTGTAGAAGTTAGACACATTACGCAAGAAGAAATAGAATCATGGGTGATCAGTTTGTGTAACTGGGCTGAGGTAATGGGGGTAGGCCCAATTAGGTGGTTGCCCTGTAGTAATATCTAATGTCCAGAATGAGTGAAAGCCATAGTCAATGCTGCATAGTCAGTAATAATGGGTCCAAGCATAGCCAGCCATTGCACACCCAAAACAATATCTGCACCCTTAAGGTCTAAAACAAACAGGTCAACAATAAAAGAATGTGATTGCATATGCAAAGTAATAGCCGAACAAGATGCTGAACAGGTAAGGATATCACCATTACCAACATGCACATTAAAAGGAGAAATGGCATGCATAACAAGGTTAAGATAAGAAGCCATTCTTGGTGTAACGAAATTGTGGGTGCTACCTCCGTCAATTAAGATTTGGACAACTGTACCAGAAATGGTGCCTGTAAGCCGGAAAGAATTAGAGGTTCGATGACCAAATAAGGCGTTTAGACTTATCTCTGGTGTTAATTCCTCCTCAGGAGGAGGATCCTCATCTGGCTGGATAGCACCTTTGTCATCCTCGGAACCATCCAGGTATAAAAGGGAGGCCCGCCCTTTGCAGCGATGCCCAGCTGTGAATTTTTCGTCACAGTTATAACACAAGTTTTTCTCTCGTCGGGCTTGCCGTTCAGCTAGGGACAAGTGGCGAATTGGTAAGGAAGATGTAGGAAAAGGATGTTTAATCGGTGGTATTGTGGATGAGGGCTGAGTCGGTTGGGAAGGTGGATGGAAAGGTGGATTAGTAAAAGAGGTGGTGCGTGGGGCCCATGTTTTCAGTGGTTTTTCAGTACTGAACTTTTCCTCATAAACCTTGGCATAAGCCAGGGCATCGTGAACATCAATAGGTCGGTGGACCAAAACTGAACAGCGGATAATGGATTTTAACCCAGCTAAGAATAGTCCCTTCTTCACAGTGACCGATAATCCAGGAATTTTTCTGGACAACTGTTCGAACGCGGCATAGTATTCAGTAATTGTACCTGTTTGCTGAAGTTTAGCGATTGCTATAGCCGGATCTTCAAATTCCGTCGGGCCAAAACGCCTATGTAAGGCAGTGACAAATGAGGTCCAATCGGGAAGCAACCCATCCTGATCTAAGGACTGAAACCATGATGAAGCGGGTGGATCCATGTTGAAGGAAATCAGCAGAAGACGTTCCTGGACAGGAACATTATAGAAACGAAAAATAACGTTCTATAGCAAATAACCAACCAGTGGGTTCACCGCTAGCAAATCTGGGAAAATCCAATTTTATTTGGCGTTGACGGTGAGGCTCAGGTGTGTGGCCGGAGGACGAACGGGAAGGACCAGATCCTAAGACTCCAACATTTGGATCTGTGAAAGACGGTGAGGAATGTAGAACAGTGAGAACCTCCTGCAACTGTGTCTGTAGTGTATCCATACGTTGTGTATGGGACAACTCCATAGCAGTAAAACGACGGTCCTAGGCAAGTTCCAGGTTGGAGAGGTGGTCCTGAAGTGCCAGGCGTGATTGTTGGAGTTCCTGAACCTGCTGTGTGACATCACGGAGGCGTGTATTTTCGGCCATAAGATGCTCAATGAAAGCACCAATGTAACCCCTTTGAGATCTGAGAAGGAGAGCAAGGAGAAGAGGGTAAGGGATGAGAGAGAAGAAGAGAGAGAATATTCACTTTTAAACATACTCATTCATTCATTCTTCGTGACCTATAACTGTCACAATTGCAAGTGGCATCAGATGGGCCTTAACAATACTGAAATATATTCATAACAATACTGAAAGTGAAATATTAGATGGGCTTAAGGTATTCCTAGCCCACTATGTAGTCAGCAAGCCTCTTGGGTTGCGATAACCTTGACCTATCTCTTAGCCATATTCTCATTGTAACGTTGGAGTCTGTAACAGTGTATATAGTTTTGTTAATTTGCATGCCTCGAGCCGATTCTTATATTACTAAATTGATGGGTATTACAAAGTTAAATTTATAATATCCATCAATTTTGCAAAAAAATATAAGATAATTCAAATATTTATATTAAATTCAATAAAATGGTAATCGTAATTCAACGAATCTAATAGTTGGAACTAAAAACGCAATGCAATGTAACTTTTAAATTTTTTTTAAATCTTTCTAATGCGTATTGGAGTGTCAAGAAGTATCGGACAAGACACGTTAAAATTTTTAAAGTATCAGTGCACTATAGTTAAAATATACCCAACATGTTAGAGAAATGATTTACTTGATATAACCCTTGATTTTACAAAAGTAGGATTTGAGCTTTTCAAACCAATCAAGTCGAACGCTCAATGAGTTTTCATTTCGTGTAAGTAGATTGATTCTGTTTCGTATAAAACATTTCATATCAAGAAACAAAAAATAAGTCATATGTATTTAATGTTTATGACACATTCTACCATGTCTACAGTTAATAAATAGTATGTCAAGAAATAAACTGATTTATAATAGAAAAAATAAACTGATTTTATCAAAATATATTTTAAACTATTTATGTTCCCCGGATCAGAAATAAACTGAAAAAAAAAAAAAAAACAATGTCATACACACGCCAGGTGACCTCATAGGTGAGGGATAAAACAAAATATAAAATTAAGATAAATAACATTTGTGAACATCAAACCAATTAATGCTTATCAACGGAACCGCCAGCATGGAACATATATTTTCGATGGACTTTTTCGACGGGCATGTCCGTCTAAAATTTTAACAAATATCTAAACCCCTAACCATATCTTTGACGGAGTTTTGGACCGAATCTTCCATGTACAATTCCGTTGAAATATACCAAAAAAACTATACGCATTGTTTTGGTTAGACTTGGCAAAAATAAGCCCACATGACGGACGGGTTCGCTTGTAATCCAGCTAAAATGAGATAAATTGAGTTAGGAAAAATGAGTTACTAACTCGAGTCAGTCTGACTCATTTCAGCTCGGAAAAAATCGAGCCAACTCACGAGTCAAACGGGTTGCCTCGCGGGTTATATTTTTTTTTAATATAAAAGTATAAATATTAATGAAGGTAAAGTGAAAAGGCAAAACCTAAAATCTCAATTCCAAAGACTCAAACGAAAATACCATGCAACTGTCAATAAGTCCAAAACCGTGCATTAAGGACTTTTTTATTGTATCTGTGACAGTGTGAATGTGGTGTCAATTGCCAATAAGTCCAAGTCCAAATGCAAAAATAATTTTCTATGATTTATCTGTATAATGTCTTTGTATTGAATTAATTAATAATTTAAGAAAAAAAATTAGAAGTTACAGTATCAATATAATTTTTTTTTATTTTTTATTTTTTCGAGCCAACCCTAACCCGCTCGGGTCTGGTTGAGTTTTCTGGCTCGTTTATTTGTCGAGTCAATCCTAACCCAGCTCTTTTTTTCAGATTGAATACGGGTTGAGTCGGGTTGAATTGAGTTGGCCCGTTTTGCAAACCCTAATTTTGGTTATCGACTTTTTGACTGAATTATTGACGGATAACGGAAAACTTGACGTTAATCAAATAGAGATTATTGCACAATTTAAATGGTCACAATTGTGTGTTAGGGATTTTTAACCCGATTTGATTTCTCTCCCATCCTTCCCAAACAGCTACAACACAAACGAACTAACAAGCAGATGCACACGACAGAGCAGCCAGCCGGTGTCTTCTAAGGTTTGTTTGAGATGTTTCTCTTGCATTGTGTATATTTATAAGAGTTTGCATCCATTGTGCAATAGAAAAAAGAGAAAATTTTCTACACACATAACATTTTGTAAGTCCCACATTTTTTGAAGCAACAAAAAAAAAACCTAAGATACAGAAAACGAATCTCTCTAATATAACCACTTTACTTTTCCTATAACATAACTCTTATAAAACCCATATTTATAAATTGTTCCGTTTCTATTTGTTAACCCATGTTGGGTATTAACAATACCATCGTTTTAAACATTCAACTCTCGGATGTCACAGTCTAACTGTGTTACGGAAGTGAGGTTGTCTTTGCTAAATTTATGGTTCTCTGTTTTGTGTGTGTGTTCTATTTTGGCTTCTAAGCAGAGTTTATGCCATGAAAAGATATGAGTTATTGTGTAATTAGCATCGAATTCAGAAGCCACATATTCTTTGGTTATTAAATGGTGCAAATGTGTCCATCGTTATACAAATTGGAATGCTTATGGTGCAAATTAGAAATGCCGATCCTAACCATGCCTCTTCGTTACAAGGCCTGGTTAAGTCAAATTTGGGTGTAGGGCCTTGTTAACTGAGGAATAAGCATTTCTCAGTGAACAACCTCTTTTTTTGGCAGACGGTGCACCACCTCTTTTGATGTTATCACAGCCTCGTCGATCATGTGCACATTTTTTACACACTTGTTAGTAATTAGAAGTAATATTATTGTACATTAACCGCACCATATAAAAGGATTTTTTTACATTGAAAAAGAGAAATACATTGATTTTTATTTCATTGCATAGTTATTGAAATCTCTGGCGGTCTCACCTGTAATACACGAGACACTAAATTTCGGAATGGTGTATGGTCCATCTAATAAACCTTTGGTAATCCATCTATATGCAGCCTCGGTAAGATGATAAGCATCCCAGCTAACATATTGTGAAGGATCATCACAAGCAATCACCCCTGAGTTGCCACATAGTGCCGTGTCATTGTAATTGTATGGACCTCCACCTCCACAACAAACTTGGAGAACATCTCCACTGAACCCTGTAATAACATTGAAGCAAATCCCAGTATCACACATGCAGAACAAAATACCATGTGTTACCTGCAGACTGAAAGATCAAGACATAGAGATTCTCTAGATACCTAATTGTAAACTCAACCTGAAATTAATTCCACTGTAATCTACTTATTCATGTTAATTGCTAGTAGTACTACTAACATGAATATGACTGAACTTTTTGTTCCCTTTCTACCCAGAAACTTTGATACGACATATAAAGCTAAGAGGATAGAACTACCGAATTGTTCCGGAGATTTGTAAAACTGCAATGCAGCATTGAAATAATCTGCGTATATGATATTGGTACGAGGATATAGCACTCGAAGCCGATTTAGTTCAGTTTGAAGCAGATCATTGTGGTATTCAAAAAACATGTTTAACCATTTCAAACAGCCAACTTGGTCATACTCCTCCTCATCTATAGTTGCAAACCCTGTTAAATAGGCAGGGTTGCATCCAAGTGGTAAAATTCCAGGAACCATAAGCGTTACAGCCCCTAAATCAATCAACTCCTGCATAAATTAATAAACCAACCAATGATTAGCAGATGACTTAAAACTAGAAACAGAAAATAAATCACAAGTCCTTGGTGTTTCAAACTTATAACAGCCTCAGCCTCAGCATTAGAAAAATGCAACATAATGGAATTTTTTCTCGGATAAAATAGAGCCTTTTTAAATATAAAAATACTCCAAGAAGCAGTAACCTATTCGTAAGCCATTGGTCATTACTGAGAGAGAGAGAGAGAGAGAGAGAGAGAGAGAGAGAGAGAACAAGAGGCTATTTTCAGAATGCATTAGACTTCAAGGTTTTTATTTTTAAATTTTTTAATAAAGAACTCCTCTCTCTCAAAGAAATAAGTAAAAGCTCATGTGCTGAAATGAAAGTTTTCCTAAATACTAATAACATAATAATTCATACCAAAATATCATTTTAAAACCTTCGGTTCCCTGAAAGTTGCATTATATTACTTGGTATAGCTTATTTCGCTCTCTAAGACCCCACTTCATTAATTCCAATGGGATTTGAAGTTGAAATGTTATTGGAACGGTCACTACTCAACAACTGAATTAATTTCTTACTCTGACTGCTGAAGTAATTACAGATATTACTTGGGGTATGTAAGTTCTAAGATCATCAAATGCACTTGTTTCAGACAAGGGATAACCATAATCATTGCCTCCAATCTCTCCCACAATAAATAAGGAGCTACGAAGAACTTTTTTGCAGCCTGCAAGAATAAAATTCAATATACCACTTAAAATAGGAATTACCTACATACTGACTACAGTCAAAGAAAAAGAAGGAGAATGAATCCCTGCTTATCAAATTTTAAGATCATATAACTACTTCCTCTTCCTCCTATCATTGTATAGTTATAGATGACAACACTTGACAGGAGTAGTTTAAATTATTTATTATGGAAAAGCTTTTTAATAAATGTTTTATGAGAAATTAAGCAGATAAAAACCTATATGGTGAATCATATCCGTATTATTTTATTGACAAATTTCACCATGTGAAAAACCACATTCAAATACTATGAATATATGATGTACTAAATACTAAATCAAACTTTTTTCATATTAATTTATCTCTGTATCCGTCTCCCTGAAAAAACTCAAACTCAAACATTATATAAGGATTGCAAATTTGTAATAGACAAGTAAAAGGGACAAAATTTGAGCAAGGGAAGAAAAGGTAACTTCACTTGAAGAAGAATTGCAGAGAGAAGGCAGCAATTCCTTGAACCAATCTAATTGAACCCTAAGAGAGTAGTTTGTAGTTACTTCAACAGTAAACCCCTTTTCTTCAAAGAAGCTGCGATCCAACGCCGTGGCTCCAGCAACCGCAAAATTCATCCCCTGCTCAATATTCCCATGTTTCACCGCGCCATTCTTGAAACCCAGATACGGTTTCAAATATGAAAGCCCCAGAGATTCAGCTTCCCAAACCCAACACCCAAAAACAGTAACATTACATTAGAAACAAGAAGAAAGAGAGAATTGCATAGAAAGAATGAATTTTTATCCCAGAAATGTAGTGAAAAAGAAAGTTGGTACGATTGAATTTGTGTGATACCAATGAAATCAAGGGGAAGACGGCCATCAGAGCATCTTCCAGTGGGTTGTTGAAAATGGGTTTCTCCATAGGGAGAGACCAAGCAATTGGGGCTCTGTGGTGGGGAAATGAAATTCAAGTTACCGGTATCAGTGAGGGAATCTCCGAAGCTGATGATTGATGTGTAGCAACCTGTAATAGCGCTGGTAACAGCAGCAACAAATACTAGTTGCAGCACGACAAACAACCATTGTCGCTGCATTGACCAAGTTTTAGCAGAAAAATCCCTAACCGACCAATACTCAATCTAGATGCCTCACTTGAACCTCATGTTTCTGTCCAGAGTTTCACGTTCACCAATAAGAAAAAATCTTAATCAATGGGACCCAATGTAAAGCTGGCAGCAATGAACAGTGTTATACATGACAAAGGCATAAATAGATTTAATCATACGCCAATTGCTTGGGACAAATTCTTCTACCGTGCTCATATAATTTTTTTTGTTTAGTGACCGTTTGAGAGTGGAGAAATTTTTTGGTTACAGTTACATGTAATTGCAATTTTTGAAAATATGATAGGAAATTAATTTTTCTAAAAATATTACTAAATTTTTTTGGAAAGAATATTATAACAATTAATTAGGATTACTATCAACAGTACTACTAATCAATTTTATTGTTACATTAATTATGTTGATCTAATAGTTATATTTATTTTTATCTTTATATGATTATGATTCTTCATATTTAATACTTTATATTTATTTCTATCTTTGTATGGTTATAATTTTTCATATTTAATGCTTTCGTGTTAAATATAAAAAATCTTAATCAAAAAAATATGAAAATAAATATAACCGTTGGATCAATATAATTGATCTAACGGTGAAATTAATTGATAATAATATTGATAATAATCCTAATTGGTTGTTACAATATTCTACTTCGAAAAACTTTTTGGTAAATCAAAATATTCTTGAAATTATTGAGTTAATTTTATGGGTTCTTTTTTTCTGCAGTAAGCCTAATACGACATCGTTTTGGGACGAAAATTATGGTGTTTTTATAATTTTATTTTATTTTAGGGTTATTATAGTCTTTATAATTATTTAATTTTTCAAGCTGACTGGATGCTCGCGTGATCGATGGACGGGGGAATTGCATGAATGACGAGACCGGCCGCACTCACTCTAACGGCGTACCTTTTGCATGATGGGTCAGAATGGTGTAACGACTGCCCCGCTGTCTCCGACATGGACCCGGTGAAATTGAATTCTCCGTGAAGATGCGGAGTACAAAACGACGTCGTTTTGGGAATAAATGTAGATAATTTATCCGCAGTAATTACAGAAATATTATTCTGTAATTCTATTAATACTATATTTGATTAATTGTAGAATATTAATGGAAATATAAATGATTTTACAAACTAGAGACAATTCCAAACTCCGAGACTTTTCATCTTTTTCAACCGCATATAAATACTTGATATATTATAAACTGTCTTCTTATTCTTATGTAGTGTTTGGTTCGGGAGAAATTTTTTGAATACTAGAGAAATGTAATTGATAGGAAAATGGTTGGAAAGTGAGTTTGGTAGGAAAATGTAAAAAAATCTGTTTGGTTCGGCAAAAGTTTACCGGGGAAATTGGGTTAAATTTTCTGAGTGTATGTTTGGTTGAAGATAAAATTTTGATGGGGAAATTATTTAAAATTACAAAATTATCCTTATTTAAAAACTTGTTGTTTTATTACAAAATACGAACCACAATAAAATGGAGGAGGGGTATATTTGTCACCCCATTATCCACTTTTTCAGATATCAGATTTCCTCACACAATTCCACCCGTTAAAAGGTAATCTCCAACAGTGCTAAAATCTGATTTTTACACTTCCTCTTGCATTGCAGGGCAAGTGGAATTGATGGCAAACTTTAACAAAAATCCCCAACCAAACATTGATAACTCACATTCCCACCATGACTTAGCCAGAAAAGTTTTTCCTTCTCCCCAACCAAACACAACCTTAATGCATGCAAAGCAAAATTTTACAGTGCGATTAAATTATAATTTATAAGGGGGGTTTTGTTTCTTTGTGAGGATTTTTTCCTCATGTGGGATCAAGTTTCGAGCTTTGTAATTGAATGTCACTCTCTGTGTCTCTTTAAAGTGGGTTTTGTCTTTTTTTTATCCAGACAATATGGTGGTGGTTGGAATTGGAAAGAAGAGAGGATAGAGGAACTGTTGAAAAATCTAGAATGAAAAGAAGAAAAGAGTTAATTTTGTCCCAAAAAATTGCAATAGATTCCCGTTAGATGGGATTCGTAAAATACAACATATTCTATGATATTTTAAAGGGTAAACAACCTCTCCTTTTAATAGAGAAGTTTTTTTGGTACAGCAACTCACATCATAATGCATTGAAATGTGTGATATATTTTCTTTGTTTTTTCCTAACCAATCAATGAGTCCCATCAAAAAATTCCCCCAGCTGCAAAAAAGAACTTCTCCGAGAAGTTGTTTACCCTATTTTAAATTAGTATTCTTCTTCATAAAAAGGAATCCTCGGAATCCGATTTTTCCAGAAACTTTTTTGCATTTCATATCAAATATGGGTAAAATAAGCATTATTAATAAAAAGAAATTTTTGTATTTATCTTATATTAAAGTTATTCTTCTTCAAATTATTTTTTGTATTTATCTTATATTAAAGTTATTAAAATAAGCATTATTAATAAAAAATAATTTTTGTATTTATCTTGTATTAAGTTAGTATTCTTCTTCAATTTATTTTGTATTTATCTTATATTAAAGTTATTAAAATAAGCATTATTAATAAACAATTTTTAAATAAAAGTTAAATTAACCGAGAACAATCATTGCATGAAGGTAACTTAAATTCTTAACCGTTTTTAATAGAATACAATGGCAAAAAAATAATTCTATATATGCTCTCATGTTGGGAAATATTTAATATGGTGAGTAGCCCACACATACAAAGTCAAATCTTATTCTAAATTATCCAAAAGAAAGTTTTTCTCGTGTTTGTGTCATTTTTTTCTTCTTCTAGTTAACACAATCTTAATTTTCTTTTTGAACTGAGTTGGATCTCCCTGATATCTCTCAAGCTGTGTCTCTTTGAGCTAACTATAAGACTAATTTGAAGCGGGGCGAAAAAAGGAATAAAGATATTTAAACTCCTCCCAAATATAACTTATGAGAATCGAATTAGGCGGCTTCTCCTTTTTTTCACTTACTCGCCTCCCTTGTGTCAATTGAAAGCAATCCTGATGGTACTATTTAGCCTTCACGTTCCATCTTTTCGGTGACTCCAATGCAATGGATTCGAATAATTCAGAGTTCTTCTCTTCCAATTGCAATGACAATTCTTCTTCTTCTTCAGCGGCCAATTTTATTGCCCAGGAGTTTGAGGCCACCTTGGAGCGGCCGCGGTGAGGAGATTATTATTCCGACTAATATTGAACGGAAAGCGAACAACGTGGGCTTACCCTTTTCACTTAGGGGCTGTTTGGTATATGGTAATATTTAGGATGCCTTGGAAAGTGGATATGGGAAGTTTTTATTCTCATGTTTGGTAGAAGGAAAACAAGAAAAATGTCTGGGGATATTTTTTCCCTTGGAATTCATTTAACACTAGCGAACGAGATTTCAGAATCCATTTTTGGATGTGGTATTTGTTTTTCCCTGCGGCGTTGGAATCCATTTTACATATTTTCGGTCTAAATTACCCTCCATTTTACATTCATTGGGCACTGATAATTTTTTATTTTTTTACTCTTGTGCAATCACAAGGGTAGTTTTGTAAACACCATCTTTTTTCTCAGCAATATTTTGTCATCAACCAAACACATCTTCGATAAAATTAATTAATATTTTTGGTAATATTTTGTCTACCAAACACTTTATTTAACATTTCAGGTAAATTTTTATACCCACCATATTCCCGTATATATTTTTTTCCCGGTAAAAAAAAATATCTCTTGTACCAAACGCCCCCTTAGGGTCTCTTTGGTAGAGGGATGTTTGTAATTTTACCAGGAAAGTTAATTAAGATTTTGTAAAAGGCCACGTTTGATAGATAGTGCCCGGGTATCCAGTTTGCCATGGAATTGTTGTTATGAACAAAATTTTGTCCAGATTAACTCCACAAATTACCTCCAAAAGGGTGGTATTTGTGAAATACCCAATTGGAGGAAATCTCTTCTGATATTTTGAGACAATTCTACCCTTCTACAGCTGGTCTTCTTCGTAACTGGCGTACGTCTCTTTCTTCGGGACCTGCTGTTGAAACCGATGGTGAAGATGAGAACGAGGTTGCTTTTCTAATAAATGGGTATCCATATCCATATCCATTCCAGCTCTGTTTACATGCAGTGAAATTTGCTGTTCAAATTTCAATATCTTTTTTATAGTGGTGAACACACAATCTCCCTAAAGAAGCAGAATTTGTTAAGAGAAATGGAATTACATTTATTTTTTAGTTGAGAAAAAACAGCAGAATATGAATGTCATCCATTATTGTTGTTCAAAAAACAGCAGCATATGAATATCATCCATTACATTTAGTAAAACACGAAGTAGTGAGGTCATTTTGGTAAAACTGTACCATATTCCCACCAATATTTTATCATCAACCAAACAGCACCTCAACAAAATTAACTAAAATTCCTGGTAATATTTTCGTCTACCAAACAGCTTTTTTATAACATTACCGGGAAACAGATATTCTAACTTTATTCCCAGTAATCATGATTCCAGGATAAAAAAAAATTTCTCCTGTACCAAACGCCCCCTTAGAATCATAAAGAAGAATCTTAATGGGAAAGAAGATTTAAGAGACGCAAATGAAAATGTTTATTTTATACATTACATTATCTTATACAATATCATACAAGCCTTATCCTATTCTTTACACCAAACATATCCTAAGAGATTTCATTGTATAAGTTTATATTATATCATAGTCTCACTAAACAACTAAAAATATCATATTTATACTTTCAACCCTAAGAAACAAAAAAGTCGTAGCTATACATCGACATATCCAAAGCTTACATTCATGAAGCACAAGGTACTAAATTGAGGAAGAGAATATGGTCCATTTATTAAACCTTCAGCAATCAATCTATGTGCGGCCTCGGTCAAATGAACACCATCCCACCCAATATGCTGAGAAGGATCATCACAGGCAATCACACCTGGATCGCCACATTCAGCTGATGCATTGAAATTGTACGGACCTCCCATTCCACAACAGGCTTTGAGACCTGTAAAACCTGCGTTGTCATCAAAACATAAATCACAATATTATACTTTCCATGATAGTTATGGAGCAATGTTTTCGGGAGTTGCTCAAGTATATAGCTGCAGTGTGAAAGCATAACAAAATTACAATACGAGTTTGGAGGTTAGAGTTACCAAATTTCGTGGGATAATCATATAATGGCAATGCAGCATTGTAATAATCAGCATAGATGATATTAGCATGAGGATGAAGTCCTCGAAGCCTATCTAATTCACTTTGGAGCTTCTGGTTGTAATATTCAGCGAACTCGTTTAACCACTTTAAGCACCCAGCTGGGTCATATTGGTTTTTATCTTTGGTTTCATATAATGTTAAATAGACTGCATTGCATCCCACTGGTAAATTCCCCGGAACCATGAGCGTGCGAGCCCCCAAGTCAATCAATTCCTGTGAAGACACAAAATACAAAAAGGCTTCATTACAAAAAAAAATAAAAATACAAAAAGGCTTTGGGTATGCTTGGAAACGGAAAATCTAATAGACCAATCAGAGATTCATAGAATAGAATGTATAAAAACAATAAATCTTACATTGATAACTGAAGTTATTGCATTGATTACATACGGCACATATGCTTTAACCTCCGCTATGTTCTTTCGTAAAAACAAAGGATAATTGAAATCGTTGCCTCCAATCTCTCCCACAAGAAACAATGAGTTCCCAAGAACTTCATGGCAGCCTACAAGATTAAACCTTAATTCAGAATTCAGTATTATTGGACTTGCATCAAATGGATTGTGACCGATTTTGAGGGCATGGAACCATAATTTTGCTTCAGCTTTCTATAAATCAATGCTCATGTTTGTGCAGAATATCAAAAATAAAACTACTCATTTACAAAGGAACCCACATGTATGAAATTATTGTTTTTTTTTCTCTTAATAAATTATTTGAGATGATATTTAATATTGACTTAAGAAATTTGTTTATACATAAATTATTTCGTGTGTTATTTTTGAGGATTTGTATAAATTCTATAATTACAAAATCAAACAAAATTGTCATATATTTAGATCCAAAATTAAACAAAATTGTCATAATTTACAAGTGCACCATGCCAACTGTCCCATCATAAAATTGGCTACTGCATTCTCCTGATGCACAATTATATGGCCAACTTACACCGGAAGCTTCTAATACAGAAGTAACCAGAACATCTACCCAAAAAAAAAAAAAAAGTAACATGAACAATTATAAAATAGAAGTGGGTGCTATTAATTAGTAGGAGATCATGAAGCCCGTCAATGGGACCTAATAAAATAATTGATATATAATTAATTATAAATAACCACTAAATCATCCCCTAATAACCCACTTCTCTGTTTGATTCAATGTACGCAGGTTGGGTTCTTTGAGTTTACACAAAAATTTCATTCTATTCAGTCAATTTTGGGATGAAACTATTTAGGCTGCATTGTGTTATTCGAATTGGTAGACACAAGAGTTTTGCTGGCATCATCGTCTTAATTAAATAAAGAATAAAACCCTATTTTCTTTCTTTAAAAAAAAATTAGATCATTACTTTAAATTTTTGAAAGATTTATATTAATTTACTTTTACAATAATATAAAATATCATTCATTTAGTTCATAGCTGATAAAAAATCAACAAAATAATGCTCAATAATGGATGCTCCCAAGCTTTTAATTTTTTTTTATTAGCCCTTGCTTTCAATGCGGTGATTGACCAATATAATAATATGCAACCAGAGTGGTTGTGAGTTTGGAAAGATCAGAGAGAATAATTGAAAACTTACTGTTTGAAGAATTGCAGAAAGCTGAGAGCAATTCCTTGAACCAATTCAATTGAACCGTCAAAGAATCATTGCTTGGAATAATATGAATACCCTTCTCTTCAAAGAAACTAGTATCCAACGCAGTGGCTCCTATAACAGCAAAATTTGCTCCCTCATCCACACTCCAACCCTTCAATTTACCATTCTTGATTCCGACATAGGGTTTCACCAATGGAACTCCCAGAGACTCAGCTGCACAACCGAAAACCCATTTACAACATATGACCAACACAGCTCCAACTCCAACAACAAAGGTAAACAGTAAAGACAGACAAAGACATATAATAGCAGTAAATAATGTTAATAAGATAAATCAGAGTATATATCAAATGATCAAAAGAGAGAAACATAACATGGTACCGATGAAATCAAGGATGAGGCGTCCATCGGAGCAGCGTCCAGAAGGGTGGTGAAAGTAGGTTTCACCGTATGGAGGGAGAAAGCAATGGTGTTGAGTAGAGGTGAAATACAAGTTACCAGTGTCTGCAAGGGAATCACCGAAGCTGAAGATGGATGTGTAAGGACATGCCCAGAATAATGGCGCTGAACCTATTATCACAACAACAACTACCATTGCGATCCATTGCTGTCGGGAACCACCTGCCATTGCAAATTTGACGTCGAATGTGAGGATGTCGTGCTTTGTTTATTATTCCTCTCTCATACACTTGAAATACCAGAGACAATGAGAAACAGACAAAATAAAATTTTGCTTTTGAACTGTTTTATTAAAAAAATGGCACTCCAAGTCCAACGCATTGTCAAGGATGGAGACACTGAGAGAGAATATACTTACATCTACTGTCTTCAAATATCAAATTTACGAAATGGTTTTCCATATAGAGTTTTCTGACTGGTAAAATTAAATTGCGTCAACGGAAAAAATCTTAAATTCTCAATTCATACTTATTATATATCTCAACTTCAAAATAAAATCGCATTAACCTTTTTAGAACAATCTTGTTCCTATGTACTTTTTGTTTTTTTGAAAAAATAAAAGAGATTTTTTTTAATTAAAAAGTATGTTTAAAAATTCTATAATAATATTTTTTTTAAAATGTAAAAACTATAAAAAGAAATTTAACAATTCTTTTTTCAATAAATAATTATATATATATATATAGGGAGAGAGATCATTTAACTCGTAGTAAGATTTTTAAGTCTTACTACTCATCTCAACCGTTGATTTTCGCTCATCTAACGGTTATAGCTTAGAAAGTCATATTAATTAATTAATTATTAATTACACTACAAATGACAACCATTTATTTTCGTCCATCAACAGCTGATATGAAGATCTGAGTTAAAATATATATATATTTTAATTTATACCAACACACCCTTGTTCACTCACAAATGAGGTTTTAGGAATAATTACTTAACTTACATAAAATTTTCAAACGTATGAACAATTTTTCCGTATAATTTTCTGAACGATTATGCTCTATCCACCACATAGTATTGGTTTTTATTCTAATTGATTCAATTTCAACAAAATGGCTAAAAAAGTCTACTTGAACTAGTCTAAACTCTAAACAAAGTACTATAAAACAAAACAGAAGTGCACATTACACATATAAGGGACTGACATCTATCCCCATTTTATGGAATAGGCATCATAGTCATGCTCAAATTCAACCTTGGCTTATAACGCACAAAAATTTACATACAATGGCTATATGTTCATTAATTCGGTTGAAAATTCCATCGAACAGGATCTCATTATAAAGCAACAATTATTCAAGCTTACAACAGAAGAAAATACATGGGATAAAGTGAAAATCTGGAAAGGACAGCATTTATTCTAACTCAATTTTCCATTTTTGTCATATTTCTTCTGTACATGTCCTCCAGTTGAACAGACAAATTATAATTGTGCCATGATTAGGAAAGGATTTCCTATTGAGGATTAGGAGGACGGCTATTAGCAGCAGCAACACGGGATCCCCATTCTAGCAACTCTTTGCTGGTGTCATCCTTGTGTAAAAAAGCTTCTATAAAACATAGTGAATCTTTCTGTGGTCCAGTAGCTGTTGCAATTGCTTCTGTCAGATCATCCTCTGTACGTACCTATACTCACAGCAATAACAGTCCTTTGGTACAATGAGCAAACAACTTACAAAAGGAAATTCTGAGGCATTCAAAGAGCAGGACAAGATTGCCAATTCCAGTTAACGAAGTAACTATTCTTTTTCTTCTCCTAGTGCTATTTTGGTTCATTTGGACAAAAAATTCTTATGATATACACATGAAGTCTTAAAATCAGCATTGACCTGAAATAATATTAATTTTCTAATGGACTCCTGCTTTCATTATTTTACTATATCTTAAGGTTGGACTATTTATTTTCTAATGGACTCCTGCTTTCATTAATTTTCCAATCAGAGTCAGGGACTATATGCCTACAAAGTACAAAACAAAGGTGCCCTTCAATCTGTCTAGAGCATGATATCTTCACTAACAACTGACTATGTTCCAGACATCTAATGCTACCAACTAAAAATTATATTTAGCATAGGAGATTATAGAAATAGATCATTGATTAAACTATAAGGAAGTAGCAGATAAGACCACCACCAGACAGTAATGGTCGGAGAAACAAAGCAATCCCCATCATCATCTTTAGCGCTACTTCATTAAAATTTAAAAGATTGAATCAAATGTAAATATTTGACACAACACAAATTATATACGTATAACCTCCAACCAAATAATAAACTGACGTGGTAAAGAAGATAACTTGTTCAATTTATGCTAACCTTGGCAGTCCAGCATTTGCCGTGTCCATTATGGATGGCTTCCACAAAGCGAGTGTAGTCCCAATTCTTGATCACATTGTATGGGCCATCATGAATCTCAACTTCAATTGTATAACCTCCATTATTAATGAGAAAGATGATACTCCTTTGTCCACAGCAGATCATTGTTGAAATATCCTGTGCTGTCACCTAAATAATGTAAAATATAAGTCCCCGTACTTCAAGCATCAAGCCGAAAATAAATTAATGAACAGATTTACATGTCATTGATGCTTATTATTATTCAAATGTCATGGATATGTGATAATGGTTGAGATTCATCAGGAACTATAAGTAACTATAACCTTAGTTCAAAGTAAGTAACTTTCAAATTTCAACATCAGCAGTACCAAAAGCATTTTTCTACTAGATGGAGTCAGGTTGACTGCACGGATCAAATAAAGTCACTGTTCTGTCAAATAATAATTCTTTATAGAAATCATTTAGATTTAACGCATTTTTAATGGACTCTACCTCTAATTATTGGGCTAACCTCCATTGTATCAACTCTTCTAACTGAGGCTTCCAGTGAGACCTTCTCACATGTCCAAACCATCTTTAAGTGTAATTCTACCATCTTTTCCTCAATAGGCGCCACTTGTACTTTCTCTCTAATACATTCATTTGTGATTTTATCTTTTCTTATATGACCACTCATCCAATGAAATATTTTCATCTCTGCAACACTTATGATGTTGTTGGCACTTTGTGCCCCAACAAAAAGTACCATAAAGCATCTCTGGTCTGATGGTTGAGGTAAAATTTAGCTTTAAGCTTAAGAGTACCTTTTTATCCCAAATAACACTTGAAGCATTCCTTCATTTCATCCACCCAGCTTGAATCCTCTATAATTTACATCTCCCCCTAATCCCTTGGTATGATAGATCTAATATACCTGAACTTTGTGATTTGTCGTATAGCATAATATCCAAATTTCACCTCTGAGCCAGTGCTAACACGCATCTTGGTGAACTTGCATCTCACTTTCCAATTTCAATTCTAATAATTTATTCAACCAGTTACATACCAATATAAATAACTGAATTGATGCAAAAACTATCGTACATCTGTAAGGATACTTTATTTCTTAATTAATCACCCTTCCCCAAGCCCAATTTTTTAAAAAACAAAAATTATAATATAGTAACATCAATCAAATTGTTAACACGTATGACTATGGCTATTGTTTAAAGCAATAACTTCAATTTTGTACAAACTTTCATACTCTTGGTAACACTTTATAGAAAGAAAAACTGTCGTATATGATCGTTAATATTCTGAATAAATAGATAATTGTTATTCGTATAATATTACTAACCTGAAAACTGCCATCACCAATGCAAGCAATTACACGCTTATCTGTTGCAGCCTGTGCATATCCAAGAGTAGCACCTACTGACCAACCAATAGATCCATACTGCATCTGGAATTCATAACTGAAAGATGGAATTCATATTACACAATGTTAATTCCAACAATATAAAGGTTGTAATTAGCATATTGCTTGATGCAGAAATTGAAAATGACTTGCCCGCAATTTTCAGGCAGACGGAGCTTCTGACAGTTGAACCATGAGTCTCCAGTTTCTGCTATTACAGCAGTATCTCTGCTTAGCAGTTCCTGTTCAACATATTTAATTACTGAACTAAAAGGAAAAACTTATTAAAATATAAATCTAACGAAAACCACAGAAATAATGTTGCATATTTAGCAATGTACAGTGAATCATCTGAAATTGCTATGTTCCCCATTTTTGTGCAGTATTTTACACTTCCAGTCCACTCACAATTAACAGATAGATACATACCATGAAGCTACTAATGAAGACACACTGTTACATGGTCTAACAGGATGAATCCGAAGAAGGAACCATGCAGTTACTACTTACTACTATGATGTATGAAGAAAATTACTGGACCTAAAAACTGTTGGTAAGCAAGGACCTGATAATGATTTTCAATTAAATAAATATAACCCCATATATGGAGCTCATAATGTTGAAGCCTAGATAGAGTAAATGCTCGCAACTATCTTGTTCTTAAAAATAAATACGAAACACTTCTTCAGAATGAGATCTTAATTATAGAACAAGGTAACAGGTAGTATTCCAATTCCAATCCCATGCCAAAGAACTACTCGACCTAAAAATTTAAAGGAGCTAACCTGAATGTGCTTAAATAGAACATTAACTCGGAGAGGTTCATCATCCCCTCGCTTCAGAGGAATGCCTGGGGGAACATAGATACGTCGGTAATTTTCCACAGCTGTGGTGTTTCTCTTCACCTTCCTAGACAATGCAGTTAGGAAATCAGCCATGAAAACCCAGCCCAAGGAAGGACCATTGCCAATGGTCACCCGATTAGGCTGCACTATTATGGCTTTTTCCTTCTTTATCAATAATGAGTATCCAACGGAGCTATAGTCATTAAAGATGGGACCAACAAAAACATAAGCATCAGCTGACTCCACTATCTCACCACAGTAGCCAGTACTGACAGCACCCCAGTAAGTCCCAATGAAGTGTGGATGATGCTCTGGTACAAGTCCCTTCCCTGAGGGCATAACAGCTACTGGATATCCACTAGCTTCTGCAAACTCAACAAAGGCCTTTTGTGCCTTCGCGACCCTCAATTTTGGCCCACCCACAATGACTGGCTTCACAGCTTTATTCAGAAAAGCAGCCGTTGCTTCCACTGCTGCTTCTAATCCTTCTTGATTGCTCACCCTGCGTAAAATAAAAGATTTTATTTTTACCATAAAACTGATGCCAAATGTGGATGCAAAAACCAATATGATCCATGAATATGATTGTCAGTAACTCACTTCACCATACAAATACAAAATGAACTCAGTAGTCATAACCAAGCATGACTGAAAACCTTCATTAGTCTGTCTATCCCTGCCATTAGTGATACTTACTTTTACTAGGATCATACGTAAAACACTATGAGATATAGCAAAACTTTTAATAAAAAAAAAGGGGGTGATTTAATTAACATATACATACTTTGGTGCAAGAAAAAATGGAACTGGGTCTCTAGAAAAAGTTGGATGAGGAATTCCAGGAAGATTACAACTTATGCTGATATAAACAGGTTTGCTTTCCTTCAAAGCAGTAGAAATTGCAGTATCAATAAGTTCGTGAGCATCATCCAAGTTATTCACCACTGCCTGAGGAATCATGACACATCAGCATCAACATCAAAATCAAAATCAATAAAAAATCTAGAAATACCAGTCACTGTTCACTTCAACAATCACCACTCACCTGAAAACAAGTGATGGCCTGAAAGCAACGTAGCTCTTGGGAGAAATCGGGTAACCCGATGGTGTGGTGGAGGACCCGGTTGGTGCCGTAGTCGTTGGAATTGGGTCCCCCAACTATGCAAATCACCGGCAGGTTCTCGCTGTAAGCTCCGGCGATGGCGTTGAGGGCGCTGAGCCCACCGACGGTGAAGGTGACCACACACGCACCAACGCCTTTGGCACGTGCGTAGCCGTCGGCAGCGTAACCGGCGTTAAGCTCGTTGCAGCAGCCGATGAGGTTGAGCTGCGGCTCGGCGATGAGGTGGTCAAGGAGGGTCAAATTGAAGTCGCCGGGAACGGAGAAGACATCCCTGACGCCGATCTCGACGAGCCGCCGAGCCAGGTGGCTTCCCATAGTGCCGGCGGAGGCGGAGGGATGAACCGGCGTGAGAGCCGAGCTGGGCTGAGCCGTTGAGCCAACTTGAGCAGCAGTTTCCATGTTGTGAGAACTGAGAATGTGATGGTTATGGTTATGGTTACAGTTTAAGGATTGGTGTTTGTGAATGTGAATGTGAATGTGACTGTGGAGTGGGGTTTATGAAGGGGATTTATGCCCAGGTTGGCTGGTTTTGGTCTTTTGGAAACTATGTGCCAAACCTTGGATGAGGGGTTAACAACTGTGTGTAACTACTCATTTGAAAAGTCCTTTGGTTTTTATTTTATTTGTTTTTTTCCCTCTTGTTTGAGATTTTATTAATATTAATATACTAGTATGAATTTTAATATTCATGTCACCTGTATTTGGTTGCTCATTGTGGCACTCCCAAATCCCAATTGAGAAGGTTCTGCACACAGAACACATTACTCCATTTCGCGTATTGGCTTTTTAGCATAGTCGTGGTTTTGCTTTTGCTAGGTCCCGGTTTGGGTCTGTTTGAGAGAACAAAGGTGGAATCCGGTTTCTGGAGGTTTCTGAATCCAGCCATTCCTAGTACTAGTGACTAGTAGCCAGCTCCTTGGTTTGTCCCTTTTTAATATATTATTGAGTTTTGGTTCCTTGACAAATATCATCACGAAACTCATTTTAATTTTTAGGAAAAAAATAAAAAGTCGATTCTTAATCATTCTAAAATTCAAAATAAATTCATGTTAATCTTTTGAGAAATTAACATGTCTTCTTTGAATTTTAAAGAAATTATGATTTTGATTAACTGAATTTATTTTGAATTTCAGATAAATTACAAATTAATTTTTTTTTAAAGGATTAAAATAGATCATGTGATTTTTGTTCCAGACCCAAAAGTACTTTACTCTATATTATTTGTTGATTTATTTAAAGGGATGTTTAGTAGAAGAGAAATTTTTATTTATCTGAAAATCATGATTCATAGAAATATGATGGAAAAATGAGTTTTTTGAGAAATGATATCAAAAAATTATTTGATAGGTAAAAGATAATAGCAGAAATATTGGATAAGTTTCTTTATTCTTGTCAATTTTTTCATTTACTTTTTCTATTTTCCCAATAATCCAATGGATGGTAAATCACTTTTTCAGGTAATTTTTTTGGAATATGATATCAAATATTGTCTTCTTGAAAACTCACTCTTATTTTTCTAGGTATCTAAAAAAATCCCTTTGTCAAATATCCCTGTAGGTGTCCAAATGCCACCTAATCTTCGACAATGCCAAAAAGCAAAGCGTATAGCCTATAAAGATGCAAAACACTTATCTACAAAAAAGAAAAAAGAAAGAAAGAAAGGTGTGTGTGAAGATAATGAATGACCTAACAAATCTGCAATATCCACGATAGCCAAATTAATTATTAAGGTACTTAAATTTACACAACAAACAAGTTAAATCAAAAATACTATAAATGTTAAATTTTAAGAAATAAATGCGAGAAAAAGTGAATATTTTTTATTTCCTGCATAATAACTCTTTAATAAAGTAAGGATACTTGTACAAAAAGACACAGGTAGACTTAAAAATCATCGGGTGCAGATGATTAAACGAATATTGCAACATATTATTGGGTAAAAGTCAAGACAAGGAATTTAAGGAAAACAAATCCTCTCTCGATAGATCTTTCCTCGAAAGTTTCAAAGCTGAGAGTCAATTTTGACGGAGAAACATGCTTTATGTTTTCAGTTTGACACAGACGGACAATTTTGAAAGGTGTAATAATCTACGGTAAAAAATTAAAATATTTATAATTTAAATAAAAAAAATACGAAATTAATGGAATTGAAAACTATTTTCGAAACTAATATCTATCCAAAAAGGAGATCAAGGGTTTGATTGAATATTATTATTTGGAAATTATTATTTTTAGAACTTTAAATGTTTTTTAAAAAATTGATTAAAAGTTTGATTGAATATTAAAAAAATTAATCTGCAAATACATTAGTGTTATGATGTTGATTTTTATTTTTATTTTTTTTGTATGTGTGTGAGCTCGCTAAAAATTGCGCTATTTACAATTCCTTCATCATGGAAAAAATGGGAAGAAAAAGAAAATGATTCTTATGGTTTTTTTTTCACTTTATTCATTACCTAAATAAAATAGTTTTATTAAATAAAAAGTAATAAAGTAATTTAAAGTTTATTTATCTTTATTTTTTTATCTTTTTCATATCATACAAAAAAATCACTCCTTTTATTTTTTTTTTCTATATTTTTCTTTTCTTTTCTCTCCATGAGTCCATGACCATAAACTAATTCATATAAATTCAAGAATTGGTTTGTGACTAAAGACAAATCACACACTTGAATATTATCTAAGCTAATTATTTGAAATTACTACAAAAATATCTTTCTGTTTTTTCTATTTTTGGTGTGAATAGCTTCTCTTTGATTGGATCGATCAGTAAAATAAATTATAAAGCTCCAGTAAATATATATAACACTACAATGTCAAAAAAATAAAAAAGATAACTTGATGGAAGATCGATATTTTACGTTATTGTCAGTTTGTCACACTTAAATCTTAGAAACGTGGATTAATACCAATTGAGCAAAAAGCAAGTCAACAATGATAATTATCTTATTAGCTTGATCTATATTATAAGTTGTGTAGCTTAAACCTATCACATAATTTACACATTAAAATAATTTAATTATGAAAATAACTACTTGAAGGATTAAAATTTTAACAATGTAATAATACATTATTGAATAATAGTAAGAAAAAATTACATTAAGTATAGGTAAGGACACTTAATTATGGCTAGTGAATTCCAATCGTTTTAGTTTCCAACTGGTAGAGCTTCCATCTCATTGTTACATTTGGCAGAAATAAGCTATTCATCTTTTACAATAGCCTCCTAAACTTTGACGCCATCAAAACTAATTAATTGGAAGACTAGATGCAGCTACATTGCATAGGACATGGAAACAGTGAAAAAAGGCATTTATTTTGAGTTATTTTTTCTATGTTTCCTTTTAGAATTCAGATTAAAACTAAACCCATGAAAGAGTTGAAAGGGAAACAAAAAGAAACCTTAGAATTCAGCATAGGAATCCATGCCTGCTATATATATATATATTCGTTTGGACATAATTAAACAAATGTAAGAAGGAACAGAGAAGGTAATCAACCAAAGAATATTAATAAAACTAGTACCATCACTTTGAAGACTTCAAAAATTACAAATATAATAACTTTAACATGGAATCTTGGAGATGAACCACTCCATAACCACAATTGGAGCCTTGATCAGAGCCAGAGCAAACTCAACTATGATGGTCACGCAAAGGCAACATGGGCATATGCATGTCAAAAGCAACCTGCCATCATCACATCATACACATAACTTGTGCTCAATTTTTTGAACCAAAGAATCAAAACAAGGTAGTTCAAACTTCAAACACTTGTACTAAGAAGCAGAGAAAAAGAAGAGAAGGAGAGAAGGACTTACCCAACGATCCAAATAACCACACCTACAAGGGAGATTAGGAGAGACAAGAAGGCAAAAGGGAGGCCTAACAAAAACCCAAGAGGCCTGCATTTACAGTCTTCAGAGCAGCAACACATGGCTTAATGGCTTGTTAGTTTTCTGCTACTTCCTTCTTAAAGTTTTAGACTTGTGAGAAGCCAAATACAAAATAAACTGCAGGATTGACGAAGAGCACATTAAATAGTAATATAAAATGAGTTCAGAAGAAGAAGAAAATGAAATAAAATAAGAACTGAAGGAACACGTATTTAGTTGCCGGTTGATTGATTACCTATTCGAAGAAAACCAATATCTGAACCCCACGTTGATGTCCTCCTCCTGCACGATTAATGAAATTTTCCCTCTCCACACGCCACTTTCTTGATGTGGATCAAGTTTTTATTTTTTATATATTTCTTTTGGGAAGTTAATTAGACGTTGCAATAGCAAATCCAATTATGTGAAGCCATGTTTGAGTTGCTCATGCTAAGATTGAGTCATTGAATGGGATGTATCCTTTGTTAATTGTTCTGACTTACGTTATAAGTCATAATAAAGTTAAAGTATACGTTAAAAAATTAATATAATGTTAGCATAAACACATAAATTGTAAATAAGAATTCAATATTTTACAAGTTAATTTTACTTGTTGTAAATACAATAAAATATCATTTATTTAATAATACTTCGCTTTACACACACACACACACAAAAACAGGTTTCAAGAAATTTTCAATTACATTTCTTGTTCCTATTATGTGTCATTATTGCTGGATCAAGATAGAGAATTAGCTTCCACAATAGGGTATAAGAAAAACGAAAAAAGAAAAGAAAAGAAAAGAACATGCTAATGTTCTCAAGAATGCTGAGTGAATAATTCATCCGTGACACCAAGATTTTTCAAATCATATTATACTGAAAGAAATCTCTTCAATCAGTGTGTGTATCCCTCTAGCTATAGGCTATTGCACAACATTTGGCTTTTTGCTTTCAATTTTTCCTTTTAGGCACGTGCCTCTGCTCAAGACAGAAGACAACCTCTTCGCACCTGTCTGCCATAGAATATGATGAACTAGTCTGAACTTTTTAGTATCCCCACATTCTAATCATTCAGTTTCAGATGAGAATCAATGAGTACCTACAGCAAAACCACGTATCTCTTCTAAGCAGCAGGACTTGACTTCAACCATGTTCAAAATAGTCAGCAGCTTCATTTTTATTTGTTTGTTTTTTGTTTTGTCTTTTTCAGGTCAATTGGGGATTAAACTCCTTGAACATACTTTCTGCAATTTCCTCCTAGCACCACAATTGCCTCTTCACGTCATGGAACATATTGTTTCATATTTCTATATATAGTTTGCAACAAGACATGATTGTACGAAAGCAATCAACAGGGATCATCTCATTTAACTAAAAAATGCCGTTTTGCATCTTTACACCCATTATAAGAGCTAATAAACACCATCAGCTCCAACCCAACTGCAGGCAGTGTCTTTGGATATTCCTCTCTCCTTCATTATTTCTCTAAGCTCACTTACACTATCCCATTTCCCAGCAGCTGCCAAAGTGTTAGATAGTGCAACATATGCCCCTGGTCGTCCATCAGCATTCAGCTTAAAGAGCTCATTTGCAGCTAATTTTGCCATCTCTATATTACCATGGAGTCTGCACGAACTAAGTAAAGCAGCCCACACATCAGAATTGGGTCTCTCGGGCATTCTAGTGACAAATTCCCAAGCCTGACTCAGCCTCCCTGCTCGTCCTAACAGATCAACCATGCAAGCATAATGCTCCATCCCTGGCCTTAGCAAGTATTCTTTCTCCATGCTCTGAAAGATCTCCCAACCCTCATCCACAAGTCCAGCATGTGAACAAGCTGAGAGAGCACTAAGGAAAGTCACCAAATTGGGTACTACGCAATATTCTATCTGCATCTTTCGAAATAGCTCAAGTGCTTCATCAGGAAACCCATTCTTCCCATATCCATCAATCATAGATGTCCATGAAAAAACATTCTTCTCAAGCATGTGGTCAAAAACCCTTCGAGCATCTATAACTCTTCCACATTTGGAATACATGTCTAGAAGGGCACTTCCTAATTTTAAGTCTGCAAAAAAGGGAGTCTTCATAAGCTGGCTTTGTACTTGTTGCCCAATTTCGAATACTGCAAGCATGGAACAAGCACCAATTACGCTAGCAAATGTAGAAATATTTGGCCTAAAGTTCAACCTTTGCATGTCAATGTAAACTTCAAGAGATCTCATGGCATATTCAGATGTTTTGCTGTAGCCTTCAATCATCGCATTAAATACCACTACATCCTTGTCCAATGTTTTCTGAAATATACATCCAGCATCTTTGAAAGAGCCTTGATTCATGTAACCAGAGATGAGGGATGTAGAACATATCACATTCTTCTCTGACATCACATCAAACACAGTCCTCGCGTAAGCAACCCTCCCGTTCTTAACATAAGAGTCAATCAGTGCCGTGCAAAGAACGTCATCTTTCTCAACATCAGATTTGAGTATCTGGGTATGTACCATTCTTCCTAGATCACCAAGCAGCGCAACATTACCCCTGGAAGTAGACGCCTTTAAAATCATTGAAAAAGTAAACCCATCAAGCTTTTCCCCAGACACTAAGAGCCTATGCACCAAATCAAGTGACTCTTCAACTCGCCCTTGTTTCAGATAGCCACCAATCATATAATTATAAGCAGATAAAGTTCTGTCCCGCAAATCATCGAACACCTGGCGTGCATATCTTAAACAATTACATTTCAGGTACAATATAAGTAGTTTGATGGAAATATTGGTGTTTGGAACAAACCCAGTTTTCAGAATGTGGGAATGGATGTTTTGGCCGCGGGAAGGATTCTCGGAGTTGATGTGATGTTGCAGAGCATCGGATAATGAGGTAGAGTGAAGAACAAAATCAAGGTTTTGCGGAAAAGATTGATGGGATGAGATCAGGGAACTATGGAAGCCACGTGACGAGAAGAAAGGTCTGAATATTCCATTGTTCATCTTCTCATTAACATTGCAGGATACAAGTTAAGCAAACCAAAGTCCCAGCGTACGGGAAAGAGTGAGTTCAACTGTTATGTTGCACGAAAACAAAAACCGTGTAAAAAACACGTGTTGGGCTTTTTTCCTTTTTTTATCAAAGCAGTGGATCCCATATGATATTGTATCTACATGAAATCCATGCCCTGTCCAACAATACGAGGGAGTTAGGTTTCGTTTCGATAAGCTTTTTTTTCTTTCAAAAGTTACTTTTTTCATAAAAAAAATAAAATATACTTCTCATTTTAAATTTGTTTAGATTCTTTTTAGAAGCTAAAAATTTTAACTTTTAAAAAAAATCAGAAGTCAAAAATCAAATATTTTTTTCAAAAACTAAATATTTTTATAAAAATATAAATAGCTTTAATTTTTGTAAAAAAAACTTTTAAAATAAAGAAAAGATATAAGCTACTTTTTCTAGAAGGCGAAACAAACGGGCTCTTATACATATAAAAATAAGTTATTCTATCTATTTTTTTTTATATATATATTTATCTTATCTATCAGTCTCCAACATTAATATATTAGTATCTCAACTAATTTTTATTATTTTTAATAATAAAAGTTAGTTGAAATAATGATTTAACGGTAAAATGATGAAGCTTAATTGAGATATTGATATAACGATGTTGGAAAATAATAAAGAACGTAGGCATAAAAAAATCAAGTAAAATAACATATCCCTAAAGTATAATATATTTATGAGATTAAATATATAATTTTATCTCATACACACATAAAAGTTTTTGGGACTCGAATTTTTTTTCTTTTTTTTTTCTCACATGGACCCAGACAGATTCACACATTTTTATGTGTGTAAGAGATAAATTATCTCCTACAACATGAAAAGGTGGAGGTTATATTTACAACATTTTTCGCTTATAACCTCTGCAAGCAAATTTTAACAGTTGATTTTCGTAAATCTAACGGTTATAATTTATTGAGTTATCTTTATTAATTAATTATTAATTCTCAATAAATTATAACCGTCAGATTGTCAGAAATCAATGATTAAGATTTGATTGTAAGCAAAAGGAGGTTGTAAATAAGTCACTAGGTTTGGTAGGAGTTTGGGTAGGTTATGCGTTCAATTCTCACTTCTATTAAAAAAAAAAAGTTGTACATATAACTCCTCTCATATAAAAAAAACATTAATATCTATTAAGGGAAGAGTTATATTTACAAATTAAATTATTTACAAACTCTTACACTCAAATCTTAATTGTTAATTTTCGTCTATAATTTATTAAATTACATTTATTAATTAATTATTAATTCTCAATAAATTATAACCGTTAGATTAACAGAAACCAACGATTAAGATTTAATTATAATAATTTATAAATAATTTAATTTGTAAATATGACTCTTTCGTTGAATAATTATCGCTTGCCTCACCTGGTGCGATCAATATTTTTTATTCTTATATCCAGTTGTTTGTGAAAACTTGAGTGGCCAGACGGCCAGCGCAAGTTAATAGGAGACAAGTCAAGCTTAGTATTCACCAAAGCAGGTTCTTCAAGCAAGGAATTTTTGAATCTAGAGAAAGCATTCATGATTGAAAAGCTCAAGATTTCCACTTTTCGACTAATATAATTAATTAATATAATAAAAGAATAGCAAGTATAAACGTGTGCATAAAAATAATATAATGGGAGATATTATAAATTTTTTTTGAGATATTGTCGAAGGAAAACAGAAGTTAGTAAAAAATTTCAACAAACAAAAAAAGTAAAGAAATGGGTGAAAGAATTAAAAGAAAAAAAAAAACTCAGAAAGAGTATACTTGATGACAATAGAATAATTGTCAACACACAAATATCCAACACCATGTGTTAGTTTGGTGTTAAAAATTGCCACCACTAACTATTCTTGCTCTAATGGTGAGATTTTAGGTTAGTCATTTCACAGTTCATAGACTCCATTAAATTTGGTCTTTTTATAGACTTTGTAATTATTTGAAATTAGAACACAAGTTTGATTATGTGTAACTTCTAACCTGGTGGCTTGATGGAATTGTCCTTTGGGTGTCATTGTAAGAAAATTAAAATTAAAAAAAAAAAATCAAAAGAAGTGACAATATACAAAATAAAAATGGTAATATCCACTCTTTATAATTGTCAACACGTTACCTCTGGCTAAGATTTTCAATACGGGATCCATATTTGGCAAAACCAATCAACAAGTAACGTGGTAATTGCATCTAGTAGCAAATGAAACTGCACCCAAAGGAAATTCTATAAAAATCTCTTCATTATTAGTAATGATTATTGAATTGCATTAAGAGTCTATATTGTCATAATTTTTAGCAATAAAATAACATTATACACATAAATAAACACACAAATACAATTCTTTAATATTTCATTAGTGATACCTACTATACTATATTTATATTCTAGTTTTTAAAAAATTATCATATCCCAGTCCCGAATTGTTTCATTTGTAATACACCCATACAAATAGCGTACCATGGATTCTTTTCTTTTGCCAAAAAAAAAAAAAAAAACCCGTAATGAAGAAAACTCCAACAATACAGAACGTATTGTCAGATGAAATATCACAGAAAATTACATCAAAATGCACAAGTATCACTGAGCCCTAGCACAATACTAGTGATAATTCATTTGAATATTTTCCTAAATCCCTTTAGAAAAATAAACCATGATTGAAATGTAAGAGACGTTACAACAGCAAGACTGATATTCAATCCAGTTACTGGTCAATTGCCATTGCTTCCGGCCCCCCGTTTGCGTCCTCCATCCCATTCTTAAGCTCCTCAGTTGCTATTCTCATCTCCTCAACTAGACTCTTTTGCTCTTCCTCTATTGTGTTCTGCAACTCATCCACCTGTAGGAAGATCAAGAAGCAGAACAAATATTAACATCAACAGTTTTTACACAGACAAAAATATTAAAACAAGGCACGTCACCTATCCAGAATTTGGAATCATGATGTTTACAGTTCATAAGATAGCCAGTGGAACACAAAAAACACTAGAAGAAGAAGTTCACGTGACACCAGAAAGAATAGATAAATAGAAAATATACAACAAATTATTGTGAAATCCTTGAACTAAAGTGCCTCACTGAATCACTGCCGACACAAATTAAATTCAACAGTTTCAGTTTGCACAGCCAACAAAGGTAAGCATAACAGAGATACAAATCTTCATTCCACAAGTTAATAAGAAAAGGTAGAATTGTATCAAGGTTGAGAATCAGAGATTGGAACTTTTTTCAAAATGTCACTTATGGGTCATTATCTTTGGATAAAATGCATGGTCACAAATTTCATGTCAAACGCATAAAAATTGGGCTAGACAGGAAATTGGAATTGAAAAGAGAAACTACATGTTTTGAATTATAATTACCAAGATAAAAACAACGTGCAACCTCTCAATAGGAGTCTTAAACGCCATTTTATATGGTGTTACTGTTAATTAACACTAAAAAATCAATTAAAACAAAAACACAAATTATGAAAATAACACTTGAATAAAAAAATGTCTAAAACCCTTCAAAACGCAAAAAGCCGAGAACACACGCACAATGCTAAGCCAACTCTATAAGCGTCACAATTCTTACCACGGGAAAGTATGGAAGTAAAAGGCATCACTCACACTAATGTCCTGGGTAAAATATGCCAAAGAGAAAATACTGCAGAATGATGATATTTCATTATCAGCATATGATATTATTTGAGAACAACCACATAAGTTGCACAACTATTTTAAGTGATAAATGTTGTAGACCACAATCAAAGAACCCTGAAATACTATTTTATAAATTTCAATTACCACATCCAAATGTGTTTCAGATCTTATGTTTCTGCTTACCCTTTCCTTTTCTCTTCTAAGTTCTAAGACACACATGAGTTCCATTTTCTAGTCTTCATATCAGTGTGCCACAACTTCTACTTCTCAGCCCACATGCTTTTTTTCCTCTGATTTTGCATTTTCTGTTGCTTCATTTTTTCTTTTCAGTTTTCTGTTTCTTCATCCTCTCTACTCTGACTCAGGCTACTCACATGCAAAATGAGTTCTACTTCTAAAAAAATTCAGAGCCAAACTAGAAGTGCTGCAGCTCCGTGTGTCCCCGGACCACCTAAAAAATATGTAATATTTTACAAACCATTTGTAAATTTTAAGTATTTGATGTTGTGTTTTGTGGTTAATTCAGTCGAACATTGGATGACTATTGAATCCGATAAGACTATGAGTTATGTTTACAGTGTGAGTTTAGTTTTTCATATACATTAGTGGTTTCATCTGCAAACTGTTGACATTTGAATCATTAATAAAAAAATTACAAATATATTTAATATAATGTGCTCTATTTTCAAAAGAGTATGATACACTATGTGCTATTTTTTTGCTATTGCACTAAGATCCCCTCTTTTATAAATATGTTACTTATAATTATGGAGACCTAATTTAACAGGATCAAGTATCTATATTAGCACAATGTTTCACAAGAGAAAGAAGTTGAACAATGAGGCATAACAGATAGGACCAAAGCTAACAGTAAAGCAGTGGCAAACAGCTGATTAAATTCCCACATTGCATATTTCACATAAGCAAAAGAACACAACAATCACACAAGACATAGCATAAGGAGACTACCACGTACCACATGCAACAAAAGAGCAAACTGCTTCTTCCGAAGCTCCAACAATCTCGAACCAGCAGTGTTATCTGCATCTAATGCTGCTATTTCTTTCTCTAACTCTGTTATAAGCTTCTGTGTCTCTGATCTTGGTGGCTGCATAGCAATCAATTTCCTGATAGCCTCGCACTCCTCCTTATGCCGCCTCTCAACCTTACTCTCTTCAAGTTGCTTCTTAAGATCTTCAATGTCGGCCTGTGCCTGCAAGATCTGCCGATTCATTTCATCTTTCAACTCATTGAAATTTTCCTTCTCTCTAATATTGGCCTCAACAATTGCTTTGCTCTTTAGAAGTGGAATCTCAAAAGTGGTCAATTCCTGCAGAAAAGCTCTGGCAAGCTTTTCACAGTCATTGTAGTTATCTTCCTCCTTGTCAACCTCGGAGACGAAAGAGGTGAACTTCTTCTGAAGCTTCTTCAACGGAGGCTCACCCCTTGTGGTTGTTGTACGGGTGAGAAGCCTGTGTTTGATAATTATATCATCTTCAGCAGGACCAAAGGCATAGTTGGCTGCCACTGCTTCGCCCCGCCCCGAAACCTTCCTTCCTTTTCCCAGCATCTGAAATTCTTGAGCACTGACAAGGACAATATCAAAGCTCAGGCTCAGTTTGTATCAACAGAAAAATAGATTCTTTTGGCAAGCATTTCTCAAGAAAAATATTTAATGGTTATTCCCATTCAACATCAGCATCAGCATCAAATTTATCCCAAATTACTTAGGGTCGCTGTTATTCCCATTAAACGCGGACGTGAGCAAAATTTAGGGATACATTTGAATTAAATTAAATTAAATAATTGTGTAACAAGTGAGCAGTGATGGTAATTTACAGAATTAGGGTATTGGAATTCCATGCTAGATCCAGCACCCTGGCGGATGAATAAAAGAGCATAGCTATATGAAATGAAAATATTGGATTACAGAACTAGAAAACCAGATGTTTTGGTGGTAGCCTTTTTAGTTGTGTGCTAAAAACTGAAAGAAGATTAAGGTTGCTAGAATGAACCTTTTTGGCGGCAGCGTTCACGGTGTTGCGCCTCCGCAAAGAGACGGAGATGCCGAACGGTGAGAGCGGTTCTGTCCGGTTGTGGTTCTGTTTCAAATGCAAAAGTTAGCAGGCTCACTATTGGACCAGTTCGGAGTAGGAACGGGCCGAACAGGTTTAATTTTATCTTTTTTTAATTTTCGGGTTGATAAATATGTGAAATGGCAAATCACAAATCATAATGTATAAATTTCATAAAATCTGGGTGAAAAATTATTGCTTAAAGAATTTTAAAACATTTAAATTCAATATTGCATGCAATTTGAAATTTGATAGGTACATTTGTACTATCTTAAAGTTAATATTTCAAAGTTTATTTAAACAAAAAATAGAGGTTAAACATAATTTATATAAAAAAAAATTAAGAAATTTTAAATCTTTTGTACTGTGTAAGGGTTTGCTACGCTCAATAACATGGAACCGGACACAGGCCAACCATTTATGGAGGCTGTACTGTATAGGAGTTCTCTGATCCAGTAGTGTCCATGTAAAGATCATGCCCAATAAGGAGTTCTTAGACCATTCTCACCCTACTTTTCTATGCTACGTGTAATTTAGAGTGCTAATCTATGTTGCTTGTACACGAAACACAATATATTAGAATATATTTTGATATTAAATAATATTTTTAATATATAGTATAGTTTACATTTAATATATATAACAGTTCATAATGAGTTATATAATTAATCAAATATTCAAATTTCATAACATAAATATAAAGCAAAAATAATTTTTTCATATCAAATTTCATAACAAAAAATATTTGATTTATAAAATAATTTTTCATGTTTAATTAAAAAGATAAAATAAAATGAATTTATTTTTTTTTTATAACAAAAATAAAATGAAATTTTGATCTAAAAAAAACGTGTTAGAAAACAATGGTCACGTATCGTAACGTGTCGGAACATTAACTGCGTGTCAAAAAATGTTGACCACGTGACGGAACGTGTCGATGTCCAACACTCATTTTTCAAAAAATTTGCTTGTCGGTGCTTCCTTGGTGCCAATAACCTATGTTGCCTATCAAAAGTTTAGACCAGTGTTTTAAAACCCGGCTCGAACTGGCCAAGTCGACTCGAGTTTCGATAATCCAGTACCCTCATTGGTTGAGTTGGGCATCAGATCGGTTATGCACTCGAACCGGTTGACCCGATTTGAACTGGACCACAACCAAGTTCAATGAGTGTTTAATTGATTTTTTGTTAAATTGTGTGAAATATATACATTTTGTAAGCAATAGAATTTGAATTTGAATTTGAATTTGAGTCCCCTTATTTGAGGATTGGAAGACTTATCATTAGACTACTTTTATTTGTTGGACACAATATTCATAATTTAATATTTATTATATATTATTTTGAAATCTAGTTGAACCCAATTGAACCACTGACCCAGTAACCTAGTACCTCGACCGAGTCGATGACCGGTCCGAATTTTAAAATATTGGTTTAGACTAGAGGTGGCAATATAGGTTGAACCTGATGGCTCAACTCGCCAACCCACCAAAACGGGGCGGGTTGGGTTACAGATACAGCCCACCTCAACCTGCCCCGTTGGGTTGTGGGACAAAACGGGTTGGCGGTGGGTCGAGGCGGGTTGACGTGCCGGGTCAATTTTTTTTTTACTTTTAGGTAGTATTTTATTTGTCTTTAAGCTTTTGTGATATTCAATTTTTTGTTATCTTAGTACTCTCTCGAGTAAATAAAGAAGAAAAATTTTATTTATGATAAAGGTAATCTATATATGGAGATAAAAATAAGTTTGTGAAGAATGTATGACTAAATATTAGAATACATTTAGGCTTAAGATTGGAAAAAAAACTAAGGGAAATGTAATATGAAAATAAGTAATATTATAATATTAATAAAATATTTTTTATTATTTTTTATTTTTTATTTTTTAGGCGGGCCAACCCACCATAAAAATGGGGAGGGTTGGAAATCCACATTCAAGAGGCAGGGCAGGGCGGGCCAACCCACTTTTGGCAGGTTGACGGTGGGTTGGGTTGGGTTGACCTGTTTTGCTACCCCTAGTTTAGACGCTTCATTATTTCATGTTAGTTCTGACCTAACATACGTAGTACATGATTTAATATATATTATAAAATTAAAGTTGGTTGGTTCAAATGGTATATGTTTGATTCCGCTTAAGTAAGGTCTTGGTTTCAAGTCCTTGTGAATGCAAAAAATTTCTTTGGGAGAGTTAGCCCCATTATGATGTAAATGAAAAGTATTCCGATTGTAAAATACTTTTTCGACCGAAATTTTGTCGTTTGCAAGTTTGCAACGTAGAAATTTTGTCAAAAATATAATCTTTTTTTGTAGTGTGAAAACTGAAAAGTACATAAATAATTTTGTTAGAAATTTTAAATTTAATTTGTAAAATATAATAATTATATTAGTTTTTTAAAAAAGGATAAAATTGTAAAAATATCCAATTAATCCTCCATTTTTCTCCCTTACCATATTTTTAACTCCCAAATAAGGAAAGAGAATACCCTTCATTTCTCTTCCTTTCCTTTTCCTCCCTCTCTCTTGGATCCCATTCTTTCATTTTTCCTCCGAACTCCCAAACAAGCCTAAAGTTTTAGGTTGAAATAGTTCTTTACATGTTGTCAAAGAATATAATATAAACTATTAAAAGGCCTTCACCAATACATTAATATTTTGGATTCAAATGATTCTTAATTTACAATAAGAAAATAAGTTATTTAACACTCAGATCACTTCTACTGAGCTATAAAAGTGACTTTGTATATAGATACACTCAATGTTGTCAAAATCGAATTTCTAAGTAGAAACATAAAGGGATAGCAGAAACATAAATCTTAGAAACGACACAAAATATAAAATTTCAACTACTTAAGGTCAAAGATAAAAAAAAAAAAGAGGTGCAAAAATGTGTGTATATATATACACGCACATTATTATTTAATTTTTAATTGTCAAATTTGTATTAAAATCATGTAATCATATTAGATATATAATTTCTTTAAAAAAAAAAAAAGGTAACAAATACACCATATAAAATAGTAAAAGTATAGGGGATTTGCTTCGATCCCAGGAAAAAAATAAAAGAACTATTGCGGGTTTTTTTTTTTAAAGTTGGTTCATGACATATGAAATTGAAATTATAAAACGTACGTCTTTGCATTCTATCTGACCTATCTAGTCATCCATTGTTTCTTTACATGCTGGTCGTGTGGACTGTACTTGGGAGCTAGCACGTAATAAGTTCATGACATTGTCTTAAGCTAAAGCAAATAAGCATAAAGGCAAAGGCACTTTGGTTATTATACGACAAATCATGCTCATGCATCCATTTTTTTTTTTTAATTTGGTTTGCACGGATCATCATCATCCATCACTACGATCTAAGATTACAAAGAAGCTTAACTTTTGTCTTCTTGGACAAAACGTTTTGTCGTTTGGAAAAGTTTGACTGGACGCTATTGCAATTCATTCGAATTGCAAATGTGATTTCTTGGTGCCTATGATACTAATGGTAAGTGTATCATAGAGTTATCGGATTTCTACGTATCAAGAAAGAGACAAATGCAAGTGCACTCGACGGCTGGCCGGCAACGCGTGCAATGTATCAACGAAATTGATCTTTATCTTTCTTTCTCTTTTTATTTTTTCTTTCAGCATTGTGTTTGTTTGACATTTTCATAATACTTAATTGGTAAATTCAAACAACTTCCGAAAAACCTCTTGACTTATTAATTGAAATTCGATTTAACTTTATTACATATTTTAAATTTAATTCAAAACATACAAAGTTACATTGTCCACTTAGAGTACAAAAGATTATTTTTGTTAAAATAGAACAACCTTTTCTTTTCTAAACTTTCTTTTAACAAAAAAAATCATGATTCTATTTATCCAAAACCCAACCATTACATAGTGGTTCAACCTTTGACCACCATATAATATTAATATGTCACGAGCGCAAATTAATTAATTTAATTATAATCACTCCAAATGATTTTTTTAATTAAGTCAACTATTATACTTTTGTAATCATGCTAGTTTTTTGTAATTGCGATTATATATGTAAGGTATGCATGACAACTATTCGGTTCCTTGGCATTGTTTTTGAAAAGAAATAATTCTTTTCTATTTCTGTGCCTTGGAATAGTTTCTGGAAAAAAAATGTGTTTGATAACATGTTCTATTTTTATTCCGAAAATGAGAATTGTGTTTGATAACAAAACAAATAATATAATAAAAAATAAATTCTATTAAGCATAAAAAAATTTCGGATCATCGCTTTCCTTTGCATATGATGCAGTGATGGTGGCGGCGATGACAGTGTCGCGGTGATGGTAGTGGTGGTTGGTGATGGTGGCGATGGTGGTAGTGGTGGCGCTAGTGGTGGTGTGGTGGCGGCGACGACGACGATGGTGGCATAATGGTGGTGGTGACAACAATGGCTGTGATGATGGTGGTGGTGGTTGGTGGCAGCGGTGATAGTGACGGTGGCGATGGGTGGAGGTCGTGGTGATGGTGGCAGTGGTATCGGGGTGGTGGTGGTGATGACGGCGGCGATGATGGTGGTGAAGGAAATCTTAGATTTATGCGGAAGCGGTTTAGGACCTAGTACATTGGTATGCTTACCGAATCATCCTTGTTTCACAATTACCTCTCGGTGCGCAGGTCTCGTGTAGAATCTTCCCTTGTAGGATTCCTCTTCACGAACAGCTCACCTCAGCGCCGCAGCACGAACAACCTCCTTGAAGCTGGACTGTGGCAGATCTTCCAAACTATCTCTCGAGGAGGAAGGGGAAGTGTGTGGGCACTGATTAGATTATGAGCTTGCCTCTTTCTCACCGAAAAGGACCTCGGAGGCTGATGACTTAAGAGGTACTATTTATATGGGTTCCAAGAAACCCTAGCTCATTGGGCTCTAGGTTCCTTGGGCTCTTCTCATACTAATAACCCATTTGGGCTTTAGTAAAAGAGCAAACCCAACAATCTCCCACTTGCTCTTTTGGATACAAACTTGAGTCGTAAAACCCAAGATCATGTAACCCATAAGTCATCATCTATCCGAAAAATACCCCATCCCTTGTCTCAAGCTAGCTTGGGGATCTACCATCTGTT